CCCCTGTGCAGATCCGGGTGAACAGCAGCCGCATGATCCGAGTCACCCAAGTGGACAGCGAGGAGGAAATGGGCGACTCCGGCGTCTGGAGTTTCCTTTCCTCGCTCCTGAAGGAGAAGCTGAACGACACCAGCATCGACGTGGATCTCTACAGCAACAAAACCTGCCTCAAAGTGGAGCTGCTGGAGGACGGCACCACGTACTGCGTCGTCCTCTTCCGACGTACGTCCCCTCTGCGGCGGGCCGTGAGGACACGAGCTCACGTGCTGAGGGGCAGCAGGGCCGGCCCTTCCTCGGGAGGGAGAACGGGCCTGTAAAGAGAAGCGTGTCTTCATCATGGGGTATAAACTCAGGCTCTGGTCAGGGGGTTGCCTGTGGTGCTGCCCCTTCCCTGCCCTTGTAGCTGCACCCGCGGGCTCTGTGCTGGGGTGTTCTCCGTCTGGACCCATTCTCTTTCCAGGCTTTGACCCAAAGCTCTTCCTCGTGTTCTTCCTGGGCCTCTTGTTGTTCTTCTGTGGGGACATGCTGAGCAGGTGAGTGCCGTGGGGACGAGGAGGGCTGGGTGGCTCGTGCACAGGCACCCATGAGCTGGCAAACACCTCGTGTGATCTCTGCAGGAGCCAACTCTTCTTCTACTCGGCCGGGATCAGCTTTGGCTTGCTGGCCTCGCTGCTCGTCCTCATCTACATGGTGTCCAGGGTCCTGCCCAAGGTGAGCGCTGGGGGCGAGAGGCCTCGCAGCAGTCGCCCTTTCCACACTTGTACGGTTGTTCTGGTGAGGGAGCTGGAGCACATGGCTTCGGGGTGCAGGTCTGGGGGGCTGGCTTTGCATGGGGCAGGGCTCAGGCGCTGGGGGGAAGGTAGCCATGGCTGCCCATTGCCTCTCTTGAACCTCCCATCTCCTCTCCTAGAAAAACCATGTTTACTTCCTGCTGGTAGGAGGCTGGTCCTTTTCCCTGTACCTGCTTCAGCTGGTCTTCAAGAACCTGCGGGAGATCTGCAAGACCCACTGGCAATACCTCCTGGGTGAGTGGGAGCCCTTTGGACTCACGCTTCAGTTTCCTGCTGGAGCTCAGCGTGTTGCTTGTCTGGGCTGCATCAAAAGGAGAGTGAGCAGCAGGTCAGGAAGGGGATCCTGCCCCTCTGCTCTGCTCCTGTGAGACCCCCCCTGCAGCACTGGGTGTAGTTCTGGTGTCCTCAACATCAGAAGGACATGTAGCTG